GCCTTGCTTTCCCAAAAGTTGTTCTCATCCTGGGTGGACTGCAGTTTCGACCTCGCATTGGTCTTATCACAAATACTGAGGTAGTTAGGGAACTGACACATCTCAATTCAGAAATCACCAATTTGGATGAGCACATAAATTTAGAATTATGAATGTTCAGCTAACAACCGTAGAGGGGAGCCGTTACGATGAATTTCATGTAAATATTCATGACTATCATCTCTCCAAAGGCAGTGCTTTATATTCCTGAGCTAATTCAATGCACGTCAACTATGTTAATCAATCAGAAAAATGCATTTCTTTAACAATTTCTGAATGGCTGCACTTTCAGTTATCACATTTTGAGTTTCAATAGTTCATTGTTTTCATTATATCTGAAAATCAAAAGCTTTATCTCTTTTACGAGACAATGCATAAATATTTTAATGATGCAGATAGGTTGACAGAAAATAAAACACGTCTATGAATTGATCTTATTTCAGCCTTTTATTCTGCTGTTGTTCCATTTTTATGCGAGGAACAACACAAGCTTATTCTGTGTTTGTTGGGGAGTTCTGAAATGAAAGGCGACTATGAAAAGTTTGCAAATGTTAAGGATCTGCGGCTCGTACATATTGATTGGGATTTATTATATTTTTAGAATGTAGATTCCGATATTTTCTTGTATTATAGGACAAGTATAATGATAGTAGTTATAATAACTAGGTCCTCGAAACTGGCGATCGATGTTGAATAAGAAATTTAGTCACTCTAGGTTGCAATATTTGATGAACAAATGATCGTCAATTTTCTCAATATAATTGCGTGGGCCTACTTATTATGAATATAAGTAACCATATTTTGACAGGCTTATTTATAAACTTTCGAGTAGTGAAAAACTAGATGTCGCCATTCCAAGCGAAACCTCCCTTCAGTTGGGATGAGACCAAATCGCGAAGCTATTGTATTAACGATTCATTCCGATAACAAGTTCTTTCAATATAATTTTTTATACCTGTCCGATCTCCAGTAAGAAAGTAAAAATATATTTAAGTATTTTTTGCTAACTGTCTTTCTCTTTTATTATTATTTTATATTTCTAGTTCATATCGTTACGTCTCTGCGTATCCCGTTGTACGCTGTTTTTGCGCGAACCTGCATTGTCCTCTACAGTAAATTGGCCCAGAAAGAAAGTTTTTGAGAAATGATGACAAAAAGGGCAGGTTAAAATAATACAAAATTTACTAAATTACAATACAGCTTCATAAATCCATTAAACACTGGCTTTTCTTAGCCAACTTAGACTCGCATGGCGAAGCCCCCTTTTATCATAAATGAAGCTGGCCGTGGTTGAAATAATTCGCATAGACCTTTTACAAAAGTGTGTGAGTAATGCCCCAACCTCAAATGTGGACATTGTTATGCGCTAAATCAAGAGCTGAGGCAGAAAAGACTTTCGAGTAAGCTGTAGAGTATATCTGCATGGAAATATGTGCATGACTTTGGCTTAAACAACTAACAGTGGTCGAAACTGCCGTCCAGCCCGGCCGGGATGAGAAAAATTTATGGGAAAGCAAAGCTATGTGAAATTCTATTCATATGATTGTGGAAAAATTCAGCCTAAAAACGAACTAGGGTGAATCCATGTCATAAAAGTGATCAAATCGACATGTTGACTTGTCCCCTTCACTGTTGAGGAGGAGACTTTGGAGTTACCTTAATTCGTGACCAAGTCTGGCCCTGAAACAGACAAATTCACCTAATTCCACTCCGCACTCGAAAGTTTTCCATCTACTCTTCATGTTGCATTGATCATACGTACCGTATTCGTTAATCTTTTCTCGTGGCCAAAAAGCGGGCCCCGCTGGCTTGTCACCAACTCGTGGCATTCACAAGCAATACGCCCATTGGAGAGCCCAGATTTGCAGAACTTCTGAGGCTTGGCAAACCCCTGTGCCAATCCTACAGACAGAAGTGTCTGTGCTGGCGTTTGGGAATGTTGCAACTCAGGCATGTGTACCACCTCCGCCGCCATGTGCCTGGTCCACGCCGCGCCACACAAACAGGCCCAATCTGCCGGTCGGCTGGTCGGCTGGTCGGCTGGCCGGCATACTTCGGTAGGAAGTGGGGGGGCACTCCTACCCTGGAAGAGCCAGAAGGAGGGAGATTGAGTGGGCACACAAGAACTGCCTCTCAGAATGGGAGGCAGATGGCCGACTAGGCCCAACGTCTCAGGTCAGCACCGTTTTGGCCGTACTCCTCGAGGCAGGTACATCGTTTCGCAACACAGATCCCGATCTGTCCGGCACTAAACAGAGCATGTGTTTCGCTGTCTCCCGCTAATGTGCGAGTATG